ACATTCGTAGTCCGTTCGTTGGTCAGACAACAACGAAAAAATAACCATCAGGACCACTTACTCAAACTTGGAACTGAACTCGGAGAAGATGAGTATGTCTGTGATGTTTCGGTCGCTTTTCCACTGTGGCYYTGTACTGACCGACTAGAATGTGTCGTTTACCTACCAAATAATAATAATATTAATATTAACAATAATAAAGATTATGTTATRGATCTGGTTTTTTTACTATTCTATCCACACTTGCCCTCATCATAGTTGATGCTTTAATAAGCTAAACGTTTGTTTCAGCAGCTTACGGACCTTTGTTTTACACTCACCGCAGTGGTGCAATGAGTGGTCAACATTTGGCAGATGGTGCGGTCGACACCAGCAATGGCGGAAATCATAGTCCAGTCGACACTAAATCACCWACATCAATTGAAAAACAACATAGCTACGAGCAAATCGATCATGCTCATTTTTTGGCCAATGACATCGGCACTCTCTACCTCAATGACAGGTACCACATGCCAAACATAAAATGTATTAAATAATCAATAATCAAATGTAGTTCATGTTTAAATACCACTTATTAATACATTTTTATATATTTGGTATTATTGTCTTCAGTTGCATGTCTAGGATTTTTTCCGGGGGGGGGGTAAACATTTAAATAAACATATTCAGTATACTCATTCATATTATTATAATATATACAAATTGTACTGTGTACTAAAATTGGTATTAATAAGAAATTAAATAGTTATTCATGTTTTAATTTTGTATATTTTTAACTTAAATTTGTTGGTTTATAGGTTTTCTGATGTTGTGTTGGTAGTGAATGGTGAACGTTTCCATGCTCACAGAGTGGTATTGGCTTCAAGAAGYGATTATTTTAGGTAATAAATAGTATGCATTAAAAAAAATATATATACTAATTTTTAAATTAAAAGTTGTTAACTTAGTACCTATTCATATTTCTGTATTTAAGGAAAAGAACAATTGTACATTTTTATATAGGTGTAAACCATAAAATAACACCATTATAATGCAAATAATGAGTTAAGAGGTCAATTGTRTTATTTGGCATCTGATTTAATAGATTTATAATTTTTACTTAATTTGTTATCGTCATTTATGCGTTCAAAAAAATATTTATTTTCGCAAGATTAATATTATTCAATATTAAAACAAAATGTTATAATACCACTATTTTTTTACAGTGATTCATGAAGATTTTATACTATCTATTAATTATTAAAATAAATTAAATATTTTTGATTTGTTGGAAACCTTCATATTTCTATGTACATTGAACTCAATTATTATGTTTGTTTAATATTAAATTTGAATAAATAATGTTTATTTTTCTATCACAATTATCGGTAACTGATAAACTGAACAATTGTATTTTATTAATGCTTTTTTCAATTATTTTTCTATTTAACATATTATTTTCTGGGGTATAAAATATATTTGAGTAAGACTATAATATTTAATATTAATGTCAAATTGTTAACTTAAAATACCTCCTCAGGACTGTACTACTATCTATTACTAACCTGATTTCTAGGTTAAGTTTCTTTTAGATTTTAAGCTAAATAATGAATATAATAAAACCTAAATTCTTGTGTCTATCAAAAGTAAGAATTCCTATTATTTTTCAAAAAATTAAAAAAATATATTTACGTAATATCAGTTATCAATACAATCAATTTTATTATTTTGTTGTAATTCATAAATAAATCAATGTAAACATTTAAATTTTTTGACTTAACTTTTCTTACACAATTTTATTATTTTTTTGCATCAAAATGCTTGAAAATAGCGTAGAAAATAGTTTTTTTGTTATCAATTAGATTTTATTTATTAAAATATAGTACACTAGTATAAGTTTGATAATCATATTTCTTAATGTAATGAGTTTTCATAGTTAAAATAATTTCACAAAGTTATGGTGGAGACTGCCTACAGTTTTCTAAACTCTATTATATCTGTAATATGGATTTAAAATGAACCTAATTTAATTAAATTTTGGTATGTTATAAAGAAACTGCAACTTTAATGAACATAATATTATCYTTACAAATATGCCTTGAGATTTTGACTTATAGCCAAATATCCAAGTATTGGATCTTCATCAAAATATTTGTACTTTATCTTGTAAAATGCTACTAATTATAAGTTGTACTCATTAAAATATCATTGAATATTATTATTTGTCAAAATATTTTGTATAATGTATCATGTTATACTTTATTGTGTTTTAAAAACTGTTCATGATCAATACTGTTATCCTTTGTGGGCATATGCTTTAATATTATGAACTTTTAAATTTTAAAATTATCTATAATTTATTACTTGTTGGTTAATTAAAAATGAATTATGTTAATGTATATTTCAGTATCTTGTACTTGTATTAAATTATTAAAAAAATAATGTGGTAAAGCTAATAATAATACATAGGTTTGTTAAAGAAGATTTTTTTAAATTTTTGTGGTATTTATAAATGTATCATATTGTTTATATTACGGTAAAGTAAATAGGTTTATATTTTAGTTTAAAATAACAACTTTTATTATTAATGTATTTTTAAAAATAAATTTGTTTTATATTATTCTTAGTAAAGTACTTATTACTAATTAATTTTATTTAAGTAATGTTTGTTAGTCAAACTTATGAATTTGTTTTGAATATTTACATTAATTGTTTATTTAATTTACAGAGCGTTACTGTATGGTGGTCTGAAAGAATCTCATCAACCAGAAGTGGTAATCAATGAAGCTTCGATAAATTCATTTAAAAAACTTCTTGAATACATTTACTCTGGACGCATGAACTTAAGTATATTAAAGGTGAATTTTTAATAATTTAATTCAATTGTGTACAAAATATTGCAAATAGTGATTTATAATAGCTAATTATTATGTTTTAGGATGAAGTAATTTTAGAAATATTTAGTCTTTCCAATTTATTTGGTTTCACAAATTTGGAACTATCACTGTGCAAGTATTTACGCAGTAATATCAATGTTTATAATGTGTGCTCTATGTTTGCTGCAGCTCGCTTATACCAACACAAAGAGTTAGTTACCGAAGCTTTGAATTTTATTGACTACCATGCATTGGAAGTACTTCAATCGGAAGCTTTTTTATCTCTTTCATCTGTATGTTATATATTAAAATTATTTAACTGTATAATAATTGGTTTATTAAACTAATTTTAGGAAGCACTTCAGGAAATTCTTAATAGAGATTCTTTGTACGCTTATGAATTGGATATATTTCGTGCGGTTTGTCGTTGGATTAAGGCTAATCAAGATGATGAAGATCCTGAGTTTAAGATTAAAGTTTTGTCTGCTGTCAGATATCCCTTGATGAGTCTAGATGAATTGCTTTCTGTTGTGAGGGAATCGCAACTTGTAAGTTCTGATAATATTTTGGATGCTATACAACTACGAAATACATTACCTTCACATAAACTCAAATTTAGAGKACAGCTAAGTACGAAAATTTTGTTTACTTTCTAAGCTTACATTAATTTTGTTAGTTTTGTTTGGTAATAATATATTCAATTTATTTATTTCATTTTAGAACCTAACTTAAATATTGCTCATCCTTCACAAGGCGCTCAGGTAATGCAGGGAGAAATGCGTTCAGCATTATTAGAATCTGATTCTAGTGGCCATGATCACGAGCGGGGATGTACAAGGCATTTAATTAATGAAAGCGACAGCGGTATTATGATAAAGCTTGGTCATCCTTCAATTATTAATTATATAAAAATGCAACTATGGGATAAAGATCTTAGGTATAGTAATACATTTTTATTTTTATATATATTATATAAATTATATAAATACATAATATATTTACATGTTGTTTGTAATTAAGGTCCTATTCTTATTACATTGAAGTTTCAATGGATCAGCATGATTGGGTGCGTGCTATTGATCATTCAAATTATTATTGTCGATCAACACAACGTTTGTGGATACAACCTCGAGTAGTGCAATATATTCGTATTGTGGGTACCAATAACACCGTTAATAAATGTTTCCATACAGTTTCAATGGAAATAATGTACAATTCAGAAGAAATGCATTTAGTAGACATTGAAAAAGGATTAGTAGGTATGTGTATAATTATATGGTAATGAACAGAGTACTTAGCATAATATTATACTTAGCATAATATTATTGTTAATTTATGGTCATTAGATTGATGTGTTGTTTTCATCTTTCACAAATCCTTTTATCTATTTGTTCCGTTGATATGTATAGAAAACTGTTAGGCCAATTAATAATTAAACACATACAAATTTTAAAAAAAAGAAAGCAAAAAAAACAAAAAAAATCATAAATGAGACATATTTAAATTCAAAATTAATTTTTTATTATTTAAAAAAAAAAAGACACTTGTAATCAAATCCAAACCCTATTTATAAGTATAATYGTAAGTTAGCCTTCTGACATATGATTAATAATAGTTACAAAAAAGACTGCTATTGACTAGGTCGCATATTGCAAAATAGTCGTAACATTTTTTTTTTTAATTTGAAATATACAATCTATACCTAAGAGGCACAATGAGTACATGTGATAGAGAGTAAAATTACATATATATTTTATATATTAATACAACTAAAAAGGAGAACTAACAATAACATATATATTTACATGAAACTCGATAATATGTGAGAAGCCATCCAACAATGACACTCACTTTAGTATTTTAATGTTAATATTTTAACACAATTATTTATAATGATAAATTATGAACCAGTCACATAGGTTTTTATTTTGTGTAATACAGAATTTTTTTTTTTGATGTCCTTTTAAAACAATAGCTTTCAACTAGAAATATTTATCAAAACCTTTTAAACATTATATATGTGTTAAAAACTTATATTGATTCTTAAAATATAATGGATTAAAAATCTCAAAAAATGTATACTCAAACACGCTTTCTAAGTTAGTTTGAAGTATTATTAATATTCTAATTGAGTTTATTGAATTCTAGTACCAAAATTTAATGTTGCTACAATGGCCATGAATGCTATAGTGATTGACGGAGTAAGTCGTTGTCGAAATTCTCTGTTAGACGGTAACTCTAAAGATTATGACTGGGATTGCGGTTACACATGCCATCAACTGGGTTCTGGATGTATACTTGTTCAGCTTGGTCAACCTTATATGCTTAGTTCAATGAGGTAAATTTTTATTATTTATTTTCCAGTTAACTGCTACAACTATTCTTTGAGTTTAGCTTAWAGTGATTGCTAACTTACTTATAGTTAAGAGCTAAATTAAATCCATTAGGCGTATCAGCAACATACACTAAAAGTTTTGATTGTTGATGTTTCCGAAGGAACATAATTAGTTTATCAAATGTATATTAAATTAATTATTTAATGACAATTATAGAATGCTACTTTGGGATTGTGACGACCGCTATTATAGTTACTATGTTGAAGTGTCAGTTAACATGTGGGATTGGGAATTGATTGTTGACAAGTCTAAAGAGCTTGTTCAATCTTGGCAACTTTTGCAGTTCAACTCTCGGCCCGTTGTATTTATTCGTATAACTGGTACTTTTAATTCAGCCAATGAGGTAAGCCAGGTTTAATAAAGTTCTAAAAGTAACACATATTTCTAAATGGTATATTTTTCCTCATAGGTTTTTCACTGTGTTCATCTAGAGGCACCGGCTCAGGTTCCATTAGATTTAAATACAGTTGAAGTCGAACAGGAGATTTCAAATTTACAAGTTACAAAAAAAATAGTAAGTGAAAGTAATGTGTAATATTATGCGTTCAGGTACAATATTGTTTATTTATTATAAAAAACAAAAACAAAATTGATACTATTAATACTAATTTCCTTAGAAAAATTGGTTATTCATTAGTAAATTCCCAATTAATATATTTTTACATATCATTGAGTTAACGATTATACGTTATTGAGTGAAATATGTGGACAATTCGTTTGTTCAACATAGAACTCATTAAAACACATTTTGTTTCATATTTGGGAATATTTGAGAATATAATATATAATATTTAGATTAGCATAATRTTTTGGAATTTTTACAAAAAAAAGAAAAAAACATGCATTGATATTATTTTTAACCTGGATTGCTACATAATGTTATGGACAAAATTCTTAGTACCGAATAGAACATAATAATTGCTAAAATATACCGCTTAATCTGGAGAAAACCCTCTGCCCAATTACTTGTTGTATTATATTTAAACAAATATTATTTTCTATATAGTTGATTATTATCATAAACTGTGGGTAAATTCTTTTGGCTGGAATAATTCTTGGTGTTTTTGATTAAAAATAATAATGATATTACCATTCACTGTGTTAAGACTGTAATAAATATTTTAAATATTTACCCCCTATTATTGGTGATAAATGTATGAAAAAACATTTATTTTTGTACTCTATATTTTTAGAACAAAAACGTATCAGATGATCATGAGTCAATGGAAACACCACCAACTACAGCAGCAGAAACTTCAACACCTGCAACGGACGGCTTGACTGTTTAAATCATCAATTTTACTACATCATTCGCTAATGTTCCTTGTGTGTTTTCCATAATAGACTGAATGTTATATAAAATTGTTATTAATATAAATTATACAGTTATTAATTTTTCACTATTTGTGTATTTGTATAATGTCCATTTTTATAAATGGTTAATTGTTTTTAAATAGTATTACAATTTATTTTAAGTTAATTGTTATCTACTATTCTATATATTTATTAAAAATAATTATTTTATACCCTTGCACTACACTTTCTTATATTCTGTAAAAAAAAACTTGTAACTATGTATATTGTATTATTTTTAAAATAAACAACTATTTATAATGATTTTAACTTAAAAAATATTTTTATGTCTTTTTGTTCTATTTTGTTTATTGTAAACAATATAGGCTGGGTACAATTATCATGGTATCAGGGTATATATAGATTGGGTAGTCTCGGCCCTTCTTGAAATATTTTTCAATCGACCCTTAATTTGTTATAGTAGGTAGCCCATATTGGATGAATTTTAATATTAATTAATAGTAATGACCTTATCACGTTTTTTGACTGTATACTATTATATAGCTGTCATTAAAAACGTTACGTGGACATTGCAGCAAATTTCTCATACCAGTCTAAAATGAAATTGGCCCGACTCACTGATCACTATATCTCAAAAACTACTCAACGTACGAACTTGAAATTTGGAATAGTGGTTCCTCTAATACTTTTATCGTGCAACAAGAAAAGATTTTTCAAAATTTTGATTTTAAGCGGTGGAAATCAGCAAAATTCAATTTGTACATGTAAATTGTTTATTTATACCTATACATCTTGTGTATTTATATAACAAGCTATCATATTATAATAATATAAGTTGGCTAATAACGTTTGGTACACAAAAATGTCAATTAAAGATTCTCTTATATTTCTTATTTTCTTATTTTTTTTTAAATGTATAAGGAATCATCAATTCGTTACTAGATACCAATTTAAAAATTGTTTTACCTTTACAAAGCATTAAATGCAAGAAAATATTATGATTACTACAGCTACACCGACTATTAAAAGACAAATTAAATACAAATTTTGAATCATATATCATATTGTATTTTTAACGGGCAACGAAGTGCATGAGGATCAGCTAGTTAAATCTACAGGYAAACATATAATTCTTCTGTTATAGTAAAAAAAGAACCAATATTATAATATTTCAATGAATTTATTTATAATTTACATAAACATATTTACTTATATTATTAAATATATAAATTATAAATAGAATAACAGATACATAGATTAAATTGATTGAAATTTGGAAGTAAATTTATGTGTAATTTGACATTAAATGTATTTATGGTAAGAACATTTTTTGTAATAAAATATATAGGTACATTTTTCAAAGCAAAATGGAGAAATAATATATGACAAATTTAATACAGTAGGTAAATTATATATGTATATTATATAAAATGTATAATATAATATTTATTTTTTAAAATTAATTATGAATTACATAATGTTATAATGACTAAGTAGATTTAAATTTATACCTATTAATAATTTATTGATGAAAAAGTTGGACTAGAAAATAAATAAGCCATTTAGCCATATCTATTTATATTTTTTTATTATTATTTTATTAACAAAATAATTAGGTAGTTGATTGGCTTAAAAAATAGTTAATGAACTATATTAATAGTTAGTACAATAGTAATATATATAATAACTAGAGCGAGGATTTGTATGCATTTGCATATTTATTCTGGTTGATCGCATTAAATGCTAACTGAGCACAACATTTGTTTCATGACATAACGATTTAAAAAATGAAACTTTGTTAGTGCATATTTCTTCATTTTTCTATTTTAAGGGCTTATTTTACAATTTTAATTGCATATTTCATCTTTTCTACCTATTTCGATGTTTTTTTTTTGGAAATGTTCTAAATTTATACTATTTTCAATTATAATATAAGAAAAAAAAAATTATATTTTTATAATTTCGATTGTTTCGATTAATATCAAAATATAGGTAAGTACATTTATTTTAGGAGAAATTTTTGATATAAATTGATTCCTTTTTTTATATATTGATTAACGCTACCTGAAAATAGTGAGTGGAAAAAATAAAGAAAAGTGTTTTTAGTATTGTTCCATAATTTTTTTTATAATATATTGTATTAATTAAATGTTCCAAAAATGAATTTTTTTATGCATATTTTTTTTATTTTCCATGCATATTTTAACATTTTAATGCATACATTTATGCATATTTAAGATTTTTTAGCGCATATTTATTATTTGATTGATTTTTAATGCATTTAAATCCGCGCTCTAATAATAACTAATAACTATTATGCCTATATAATTTTCTCCCTTCATGAATTCTTTACCAATTTTATTATGCAATTCAAAAATGTCATGATTATTTCAAAGTAGGTACTTCATGGGTACTTTACCTAACACTTTSGTTTGAACATTTAATATTAAAGCTTACTAGCTAATTATACTAAGCTAATTGTCAATTATAATATCTAACTAGATTCTAAAATTACTCTATGAACAAGAGTAATTTTGCTAGGTTAGTACCTAAAGTTCTTCTCTACTATATAGTAGTTTTGAGTTCGACAATAAATAATTATATTAATAAAGATATTAAAAAATCATTCTAAGCAAAGAAGATGAATTATTCAACCTTTAAAAGCATATCAAATAAAACTGCACATGTCTTATTAATATTTTTAAATTTCTGCATTGTTATTTTATTTTTATTTTAATTAACATTAAATTATTTTCAAAATTAAATTTTCAAACGTTCATTATTAAATAATGTGCCTACGATTAACTTTTTTTTTAATTTAATAAAAATTACTTATTATGCCCTTATGTACAATTTTGTAACCTAAATTTATTTTAATTGAAAATTTTATGAATTTTGAAATAGGTGTTATGCTTATAATAATAATATTAAAATWTGTTTCTAAGGTTTAAAAAACACCAATGTATAAAACAAAAGAACCTAAATAATTTTGAAATATTCATAAAGTAGTAAAAATAATTTTTCGAGCGAAGTAATAACATTTTTTTTTTTGTGGCATTTAGGGAGGTACCTATTTAATGTTACTTAATAGGTATTTGTTAACTTAAAGCCTGAAGCAGAAGCAGTTGTAGCTTTAGATTTCTATACATACCTATAAGTATAATCATTAATCATATATTCATATATATATATTATATATTTTGATAAAATGAGTTGAAATTATTTAATACACAGCAAGGCCGTAGTAGGAACAAATTTTTGGGGGGAGGGCTCGAACTCCCCCTTCCCTTATATACGGCCTTGGTACGCAGGATATAGTTATTGATATTATTATATACAATCAACATTTTTTTTTTGGATAAAGATTTGCTGGACTAAATTATTATTTAGTTGGGACTTAGCTATATCGAAAATTATAACAAACATGCGCAGATATTTTCACAGGGCGTATGCCGGTGTTTTTAAATATACTTAACTAAATGCAAGAGAATTAATCCCCAAAACATATCAATAAAAAACAACTCGTCTCAAATATGAATCTGTAGATGAAAATATAACAATGAATATAAACCTAATTATTACATTTTGATTTCTACTCGACACACAATATTTTCATATGAAAAAATTTAAAAAATAATACATCAAAATATTCAAGTTCTAATCATGAATTAAGATTATGAACTATCTTAGTAGCTTATTATTAT